TTTTAGTTATATTATTATATAATATATAGTGCTTTTACTGCTATTTTATTGTTGTTGTTATCCTTTTCATATTTGTTACTTTTGAAAGAATTTGATCTCAATCTTGGTGTTTTCTGTCCATGTCTCTTTCACCCCGCCCCCCACACCACACCGCCAACACCACCTCCACTTCCAGCCCCGATGCCCAGTATGCTGCTGGCGGATCCTCCGATGGTAGCGTATACGTGTGGAATCTGAACAAGTCAAGGGTGGAGAGGGTGCTGAAAGAACACAGGTGTGTGTGTGTGTGTGTGTGTGTGTGTGTGTGTCAGTGTGTGTGTGTGTGTGTGTTTGTGTGTGTGTGTCAGTGTGTGTGTGTGTTTGTGTGTCTGTGTGTCAGTGTGTGTGTGTGTGTGTGTTTAAGTGTGTGTGTGTTGTGTGAGTATCTCTGTCTTTCTGCTGGGATGTTGTATTCCTCTCAGCCCAGGTTGGTAGCCCCTGACGACAGACGGGGTCGAAGTCCGAGCAGCCGGCCTCTTAAGACTTACAGTACCGCAGGGTCATATAGTGAAAAAACCCTTGAGTACTGCACCGATTTAAAAGTCAACAAAATAATAAGGGTGGGTTACAAAAAAGTTCTTTGAAACAAAAGTCATTGACAGAATTACGTGAGATGTTCAAGATATATTCAGAAATAAAAGTACTTCATAGAAAAACCTCTTTTTGCGACATATAGACATCATGATAAAACTCCCATTCTGTTTGGAGAGGGTAGGCACGCCCACTTGAATTTCTAAATCTACAATAGCGATTTGGAAACGCTGAAGCCATGGTAGAACAAATAATGGGGGAAAATAAAACCTTCACAGCTCAAGAAACGCACTTTAAACATTCGAAGCGCTACATCAACGACTCAGCTATCACATAGATTGATTCCGCTTGATATTTACTTCCGTGGAGAAGTTCCGTTAGTTGCTTAGTTTGCCTGGTTGAGTCAGCGACTCTTGGTCGCCAGCGATATTGAGCAGAAATTACGGGTCGGTGACTTAAATGATTCCAATTGTGCTGATAGGGGCGTGAAAACTCCTCCAGTAATAAAGAAAATCTTTTATTTTAAAAATGATGTTTGTCTTGTGTTTCAGTCACACGGTAGTTGCCTGCGCCTGGAATCCTTCAGGGACGTCGCTGGTCAGCTGTGAAAAGGGCAAGAAGGTGGTGCTGTGGTCCGACTATTGACTGCTCGCCCCGCCCACCTACCCCGACCTTAGGCATTACGTAGTGAGTAGCACAGCCATTGCTTTTGTAGCTTTAGTGAAAGTTTTACGGCGCTTGCAATTGAATACGGTTGTATAAGTGTGGAAAATTAGAAATGTTGCAAGAGCGTAACAAACACACACAAAAGGAGTAGGAGAGAGAAGGACGATAGATGTTTGATAGGAAAGAAGAAGCAAACCAGACCAGAGCCCCCATGCATAGTCATTGGTATTTATGAAATGAATGGTGTTGAGAATATTTAAAAAACATTTTTTTAATTGTTTCTTTTTTGGCGGGGGGAATAAATCTTTTTAATTTTGTACTGTTGTTTGACCACCCACCCACCTACCTACCCCGACCTTAGGCTTTACGAAGTGAGTAGCACGGTCATTGCTTTTGTAATTTTGGTAAAAGCTTTATGGCGCTTGCAACTCAGTAAGGTGATTTAAGTGCTTTTTAGTGAAAGTTTTACGGCACTTGCAACTCGAAAAGTCATATATATAAGTGCTTTTTAGTTTTAGTGAAAGTTTTACAGTGCTTGTAACACAATTAGGTTGTATAAGTGCTGAAAATTATAGGTGTTACAAGAGAGTAACAAACACTAATAAGGAGTAGGAGAGGGTATTCCCAGTAGATGGATGGAGATACTTGATTAAAATGTTCACTCCCTCATTCAAGAAGCCCGTAGGATCCTCTCACTGTCAAAAACAATTAGAAAGAGACAAATACAGTTTCTGGGACACTTGAATAGACATTAGGCCCTTGAACATCCAGGTCTCGCTGGACAAATTGAAGGCGAACAAGGCAGGGGGAGGTCCAGGGCAACTTACTTGGAGAGCCGAAACAGATGGGTAACAGGGACAGATTCGGATTGTGGTAAATTTCTAAACAAATTTTTAGAGCATCCATGGAAAGGAATGAATCTCCTGTACATGATTGCATATGTCTGCCACAGATCTGGCACACGATGATGATGATGATGATGATGATGATGATGATGATGATGAATGTTTCAAGTATCGCTTCTCAAGGAAGCTGATTTTCTCTCTTTCTGTACTTCAGATTCCATCATCCCACGGTACTCTTATTCCCCGGTGTCGGCTCAGAATCAAGATCGAGATGATGGACGTCCAGAAGCGGTGCTCTCCCATGGATGTACGGCGACTCCCCTGTGGATGCGAGGACCAAAATTTATTTTATACGGGGGTCTTAATTAAACCAGGGTGACTAGAGAATGATCAGACTGAAGTGCGTTGAATGTATCATGTGTATCATATTGGTGGTTGTGGGGGTGTCTGAGTTTAGTTGTGAAGTTGTGAATGCTGTTCTGTAGAATTTAAGACGTATATGTGCTCATTTAGGAGGCTGGAGGTTGCGATGGACCGTGTGTTTGTGAGGAGTGGAGCTGTTGTGTGCTGTCGCTGGAGTGTGAGTGGAGGGGTGCGGATGGATGGAGAGCGCCACCGGTGGGTCCTAGTTCTACTTTTCTTTCCCCATCTGTTGTTCCTGTCTGTCTTTCTTACTTTTGTGGGTGAGTGAGTGGTTGGCGGGTGCTCTGGTGTGGTTTGCTTCTTCTTTCCTATCAAACATCTATCGTCCTTATCTCCCCTCCTTCTTTTTTGTGTTTGTTACTCTCTTGTAACACCTCTAATCTTCGGCACTTAAATGATCACATTGTGTTGCATGTGCCGTAAAACTCTTACTAGAACTAAACTTTCTTGCTTTTTCCCAGCGCAATGAACCATGACTGTTGACGTTGGTCTCCTTACTTAACCTTCTTTACGCCATATATAGGTCAGCAGGTCAGCACAGAAGATGGCGGCCAGCTGATGGCTTCCCAGAACCAAATTATTTCTGTGTTTTTCTGAGGTTCAGGGGGTTGTAGCAAAGAAATTGCTTTTGCTTTTGATCTAATCGATGTATTTCAATAAAATTTCCCATACAAAGACCTAGGACGCCAGTGTCTAAATTTAGAGTGGAATGTTCTTATTTCTAAGCCTGCACTACAGGCGGGTGTCGGGCCGGTAAAAGCCGGTGTGGCTCTACAGCGGGAAAGCCAGTAAAAAGTATGGCAACATGAGCGGAAGGTTGGTTCAGGCAGGTATGGCTCAAAAAGGGTTAAACAAACTAATTAAAGGGAACAGTTACTCTCAGGGGACGGCTGGATTGGGAACATAAGATGGTCAGAAAGCAGATTGTTTGGTACTGACTAGACGGGCAGTGATGGATGACATGGCCTAGTGTCTGAACCACCGGGGGAAATGTTCCCACTGTTTGCCAGAATGTCCGTCTACCTTTTTTTTTCTTCAGCTCCCTTGGATTTTTAACCCTATCTGTACGTCATGTTTTACCATCGTATCCATACGACGTGGGGGACTCTGTGCCACCATTTAACCCTATCCGTACGTCGTGTTTTACCATCGTATCCATACGACGTGGGGAACTCTGTGCCACCACTTTCCAACGAGGAAATTTACTCGTTAATCCAATCCGTACGCTTTGCATAGCAGTCTGTCAAAATGATTTTTTTAGAAATACTGAAAGTTTCAAAGAGATCTTCGTACTAGAAGTATTCTAAAATGTGAAGAATACAACCCCAGGGGTACAAAATGACCCCAGAGTGTACGGACAGGGTTAAGTCTTATTTCTATTGGACGTCTTTAGTGTAGATGGTCTTGTAGGCAAAACAAGTCAGATTGAGATATTTGGGGGAAAATGTTACGACGTTTTTCATTTGAATGGTTATGATATTTTCTGTCTCAGTGGTTACGATATTTTGAGATGTATAGATTTGAAGTGCTGAATGTCTGTGTGTTTTACAAGCAGCTGTTTAGGAATTGGAAGACGTTAAGTCTCTTTTCTGTTTCCTACTTTGTCATGTATCTTGGTGCCTGTTTTTTCTCCCTTTTTAAGAGAGGAATGTGTAAGTAATGATTAATGAGTACGTTTCAAACTGTGAGAGAATGATGAATCATATAGGGAACTAACAAACTAATATCTTTGAACCAATTATGCCTGGAAGTTTGAGGTGGATTGTCGATTGTGTGGCGAATTGAAATTTTTTTCACTTTTGAATGTTTAAGAGGACAAATAATGAGAAACGGGTGTGATTTTATATAAGAAATGAGAGAGTTGAGTGAGAGAGACAGTCAAGGAGACAGATTGCTTGTTGTAATTTCATGAACTGCAAGTTTGTCTCGCTTTTGGCAATTGTTTTAACGTTAATTTTTTAAAAAGTACTGTAGTTGATTATATTCATACACAATTTTTTTTTCAAGTTTTATAAGAAGATTTCATCGCTAGATCTAGACTTGTTTTGTTTTTGGTGATTGTTTTACCCTTTCTTTTTTAAAAGACTGTAGCGGATGATATTCGTACAAAATTCTTTTTAAAAGTTTTTTTTTTAAGTTTTATAAAAAAGATTTTATCACTAGACGGTACATTCTGTCGATGATTGGCCATGTAGTGAAGTAGTACTGTGTGATTTTAGAACTGTAAGGTCCAATTTCCAACGTAACCTTTTACAAAATAGGTGAAAGCTGTCTTTAAATTTTTTTCAAAAATTCCATTTGAATGAGCTATAGGGTAGTACAGTGACTTTCGTACTGTTGGTGTTACAAGCAACCACTATGTCCAAATTTGGAGAAATTTTTAAAATTTTACACCCTCTCAAAGCTTTATGAAAAACGCACCTTTCAGCATCACCAAACTGCAGCTTAATCCCGTGGTCAAGGCGTACAGTTTTCTTGCTTTTCATGAATCTTGATAGGAAAGGCACGACAAAAACTAGTTGGTTTTTTTGTTTGGTATCTGGTGTAAAAAGTACTCAAATGGACTAAAGTAGATTGCTTGTGACATCGACAATTATTTGCTACTGATTTTTTTTTCATCTTTTTTCTTTTTTTTTTTGGGTGGGTGTACAATTATTTTCTACTGATTTTTTTTTTTTTGGGTGGGTGTTGCGTGTTTACTTTTTGGCAGTATGGTAAAGATTAATAACTGGCTTTCTTACATTATGTGTTGTTCTGTTTGATGATGCGGCCTTTTTGTTGCTCAAAACCAACGTCTACAACCTGTCGTTTGTGCAGCTCTTTGTGGTAGTGATGCTGCTGTTGATGGGGTGAACGTTGCGGAAGTTGCTGTTGTCCGGATGTTGCTGTTGTCCGGATGTTGCTGTTGTGCCGAATGTCGTAGGGCCAAGTCTTGTGGTTCTTGGATGTGCATGTTGTTTGGCAGCTGTGGCTTCACCAAAGTTAATCGGCAAAGTTCTATTGAGCGGGAGTTCCGCTGTATTGTTTTTGCTTGTTCTTTTTTCTTGATCTTTGAGTCAGTTGAAAATTAGATATAGATTTTTTTTTTTAAAATCGGTCAGAAATATCATTTTCAAACATGCGTGAGTGGGTGGTTGGCGGGTTCTCTGGTGTGGTTTGCTTCTTCTTTCCTATCATTCAAACATCTATCGTCCTTATCTCCCCTTCTTCCTTTTTATATTTGTTACTCTCCTGTAACACCTCTAATCTTCTGCACTTATATGACCTTATTGTGTTGCAAGTGCCGTAAAACTCTTACTAAAAATAAGATATAGACATTTTTTTTAAAAATCGGATGGAAGTACTATTTTCCAACATGCATAACAGCATCTGTGGTTTTGTGGTTAGACGCTTCACCCTCTCAAACTGGAGACCTGAGTTCGATTCCCGGGTGGGGAGAATTTTTGTTGAGTGTCTCTATCTCTGTCTTTGTGCTGGGTGTGTGTGTGTTGTATCTCTCTCAGCCTGGGTTGGCCCTGACCCTGAGAGGTAGGCTCAGAAGCCGCCCCTTAAATAACTGCTACTGTTGAGTGGTTACAGTTTGGATCAGAGTATCGCTTTTGTCGTATTTTCTGGGACGTCTGTGTGTGTGTGTGCCCGAGCGCATGTGTGTGTGTGCGTGTGTGTGTTTGTGTGTGTGAGTTAGTCAATGCCTATGTGTATGTCAGTGTGTGTGCGTGCGTGCATTGCATTGTCTCCAGATGATCAAGTTGTGTAGATTGATGCACAGATCTCTTCTTCTTGTGCCAAATTTTGTTTCTACAACAGTGAGATGTGGGAGGAAAGTTGGGTGGTTGGCGCGTGCTCTGGTGTGGTCTACTCTTTCTTTTCTATCAAACATCTATCGTTCCTTTTCTCCTCTCCTTCTTTTCTGTGTTTGTTACTCTCTTGTAACACCTCTAATCTTCGGCACTTTTTATGACTTTGTGTTGCAAGTGCCGTAAAACTTTTATTGAAACAAAAAAGCGAAGAGAGTGGTTATGTGAGGACTTTTCGTACCGAATGAAATCTTTTATTGGCTACTAGATTCTAGAACAGAGAGGATCTTTGTATTGAAATCTAGAAACAGAAAAGAGAGGGTTGTTATCAGTCTATTTCTATAAAAAAGAATCATTCTATTGGTTAAAAGTGGATGGAGGGCGGGGCTGATGTGGCATATTCTTTTTCTTCCTCCTCTTTTTCTGTCTGTCTGTCTGTCTGTCTGTCTGTCTGTCTGTCTGTCTGTCTGTCTGTCTGTCCGACGTGCTCTTGGCGTGCACAACAAGACCATTACAGTGTTCATGGTTTTCTTTTTATTCACCAACTTCAAAAACCACCATACTGATACGCTTCAGTGATAAAACTTGCGTAGTCTTTTTTGTCTTTTTGTCTTTTTGTTGTTTTTTGTCTTTTTTTTTGTCTTTTTGTCTTTTTTTTTGTCTTTTTGTCTTTTTGTCTTTTTGTCTTTTTGTTGTTTTTTGTCTTTTTTTTTTGTCTTTTTGTCTTTTTGTTGTTTTTTTCTGAAGCTGTTGTATTTTCCGCCTTTGTTGTCAATTCTCCTTTTTCCTGATCCTGTGCCAAAATCCCAGAAAATTACTTCTTGTTCCATTTTAAGAAAGAGAAGCCTGAGGCAGGGTAAAGTGGCCACTGTGGGTGGTTGGTGGGTGCTCTGGTGTGGTTTTTTAAAATATCGTTTTGATGTGTGTTATATGCAGCCCGAACTGTATGCTTCATGGGAGCCAAGAATGTTCCAGTGTGTTCTTCTAAGGTGTCCTGGGGTAATGAGAATTGTAAAGCACATAGAGCTTGCTGTAGAGTGTGGATGTGTGCTGTATGAGTGTGATTGTGATTATTATTTTTATTATTATTACTTTTATTGTTATTATTATTACTATTATTGTTATTATTATTACTATTATTATTTTTATTACTATTATTGTTATTATTGTTATCG